CCCCCCCTATTTATAATTTAATCTTATTTTATATAGATTTCACATTTATTTATTCAAAGTTTCTCTCTTCCCTGTCGGTTAATGTAGATGGGTTCATGGACTCCTTGCACTTGGATTTCCCTCACATACTTTTAACCTTTTAAATGTTGCTCCTCCCCCTGAAAAATTCATGAGTCCACCGGTCCATATATTACATGCCCTCATGCTTATTCACAATAAGGAAAACTGAAAATATTTGCTATAATAACACATGAAATTTGCATTTAGCTTCTATATATGCTCTTCCTCCTTCCAGACACCACCTCTAAACCCAACATTCTCAACTGGAAAAGACACCAACTTTGGACACCAACTGACACTAACAACTCTCAATGCTGACATAACTTGTTGAAGCCTCACCCATTCTTCTTCAAATTCGGAAAGGGATTCCAACACTAAGTCCTCAATTTGCCAGACAGTGTTGTCATTCCCCAAAAACCTTTCATTCATCTTTTGCAAGATTGCCTTATGATATTGAAAGATGCCTCATAGGAAGTGAGATGGGATTGAACCAGGCTGGACTAATCTTTCCTGAATAGAATTTTAGTCTGAGCTCATGGAGCTGTTGAGGAGGGAACAGCTTGTCAAGCTTGGCTGTGAGGTCATTATTACCATGATTATCAAAGCAACTTATTGACAGATGTTGCAGTTCTTGTAGATTTACTAATACATTGACCTCAGTATCTCCAATCTCATCACAGCAACTCAGTCAAAGTGCGAGTGTCCTAAGCCGAATTAAATTTCTGAGCTCACCAATCCTGCAGTCTTCTAACTGCTTTGATTCGGTAGGTTTATGTCCCAATAACACTTCAAGATTTGAAAGCCTTCCCAAGCATTTAGGTAGTTATTTGAATGAAACCTCAACTTCTTTCATGGTATCAGAGCAAGGCTTCATTTGTTAGGCTCAACAGCCACACATGCTCTCACATCACCCAATATATGTTGTCCACATGTTAGGCTTGAAAGTTCACCACACATGTGGGGGCGTGTTGAGAGTATTTGTCCCACATTGAAAGCAGGGGGCGTGTTGAGAGTGTTTGTCCCACATTAAAAAGTTGAGGAACCTAACCTAGGTTTATAAGGAGTTAGGCTACTCCCCTCTTGCCAATTGGTTTTGGGGTGGGACCTCAACTTTCTTCTGGTGACATCCAACATTTTCCAGTTCTGGATGCATACACTCACCTCCTTCACCTGCAAATGCAATCTTCTGAAATAGCAGTCAACTATCATCCTTGCTGAGGCATTTGGGCCAATGTGATCTTGCTTCCTTCACTCCCATTTTCTGCGCAACTTTCTCTATCCTTGTGGTGATGCTGCTTCCATTTCCCTTTGGTAACGCTTCACAATTTCTGAGACACCAAGTTACATCCAAGCTCCCCACATTATCCATCACAATCAAAAACCTCTTGCCTAAACGATATTCATTTATTTTCTTTAGTAATTCACCCTTATTGTCTCCTACGCTCGCATCTCCCAAGTTTCTTAACATACTTCTAATGATTTGATCTTCACTAAAATTTTGAGAAACAGAAACCCAAATTCTTCTATCAAAGTGCTCCTCATTCTTCCTGTCATTAAACACTTTTTGAGCAATTAGCCCAAGCCATGAGTCCAATTACAACCAACCCAAGCCCAATTCATTTTAGTAATAGAAAGGGACTAAAACTTGTGTGTTAAGTTCTTGTTCTCAACCAATGTGGGACTAAGGAAAGCCTTTGTTTTCTATTTAAACTCCAACAATCCGTGCATCAAACAAAAAAACTAAGTACTCTTTAGTCATCAAAATGTTGCAAAAAAGCGTAGCTCCTTATATAGAACCGAAACGAAAAATGCAAGTACAAATAGCTAAACAATTCCCGATTTAGATGATTTTTGGAGAAATAATAACTTAAAACTTTAGTTGTTCAACAAATAACTGGTGTACAGAGCAGTCGCTGTGGTTTCCAGAAAAATTGATGAAACCAATGATACAACATTTTGTTTAGCTCTCATGGGAAAGAAATGTTGATCTACAAAATGTCAACCATGAAATAGCTAAGAACATTTCATGAATGGAGGATACAAGCAATCCCGTTTATTAGTAACTCTTGGTTGGCTTAGTAGTGAGACCAAATCCAAAGGGAAATAGAGGGTCATAATGTTGATCACCAACATTCATTGGGAGCTGATCTACTGTCTTAAACCATGTATGTGCAAGTTTGCCAGTGAATCCATAATCACCAAATAAAACGTCAGTAACACCCTGTCCTTCAGTTCCAGGAAGCCAAGCTGCCACAAGTGCATCAACTTTAGCAAGATAAGGCTGAATCACCACGGGGCGGCCAGAAATGACGACAACAACACATTTCACAGCTCCGCAGACATTGGCAATGGTGCTCGGTCCAGGTTCTGAGATGGTCAGATTCAAGCTATCACCGAATGTTTCAGCGTACGGGGGTTCGCCCACAACGACAACAGCATAGTCGAATTTGTTGGACTTCACAAAGTTCGCATCGGGGTTCTCGTTGTAGACAACTTGAGTTGTAGGATCAACTGCACTTTTCACAGCATTGAGGATTGTGGTACCTGTTGCAGCATTGATTAGTTAACTATATGCAATCCACTGCAACATACTGAGAAAATGCGTTCAAGGGAGTTAAAAGAAATAGAAACTTATCTCCATATTTTTAATATAATTTCAACAGTAAGATAGTTAGATTATTCAAAAGACAAATGGAGGCTTAAAGCATACCAACTGTGAGATCATTGCCACCAAGGCCCTGCCATGTGATTGTCCAGCCTCCACATTGATTGCCCAAGTTGTCTGCATGGCTTCCTGCAACGAGTATCTTCCCTGCTTTCTTGGGAAGAGGAAGCGGTGGCTTATCAGCAGATTTTCCATTCTTTAGAAGAACAAGTGATTTTCTTACAGCTTCCCTTGCCAATTCTCTATGCTCCTGTGTAAAGCCAGCATTCGGTTAAGAAGGACTTGAACATGGCAGATGAAGACAACAAAGTTATTTTACTTTAAGAAATTGGTAAAGACCTTTTTCCCCAGCTCGTTGACTAGGCTGAGATCCGCCAAGGGTTCCTCAAAAAGGCCCATGACAAACTTAACCCTCAAAATTCTCTTCACAGCATCATCAATCCTGCTCATGGGGATGATGTTGTTCTTAACTTGATAGGTTAGATCATCAATGAACTCTGTGAAGTTGTAGGGAACCATGATCTGTAACATTCCCAGATATAGGTTAGTAAATGAACATAAAAACCTTACATGCCTCAGCTTGAGGACCATAACTTTATTAAAATGGCCAAACGTGACACTTTGAATTACAAATAGTAAAGCATGCAGAATTTTGACTAACCATATCTATTCCAGCAATAACTCCAGCTTGAACTGAATATGAATAGTTAGCTTTGGGAGGAGATGTAATCCTATCAATACCCTCCCAATCTGATATGACAAAACCCTGACAGCACGAGCAAAAGAAACATGTTATGCACAGAACCAGTAGCAATTCATTTCCCAAGAACAATCAAATAACCACACTAGACAAGTTATTTCAAATGATTTTCCTTACCCTGAACCGTAGCTTGCTCTTGAGGAATCCAGTTACAAGTTCTTGGTTAGCATGCATTTTCTTCCCGTTCCAACTCGAGTAAGACACCATAACTGTTGCAACACCCTTGAGGATGGAATCAAGGTATGCAGGCATGTGAATGCTAAGCAATCCATTCAAATCAATTACAGTGTTGTTCTCATTGATGCCCTTTGATGTGCCACCATCTCCTACATAGTGCTTAGCACAGGCCGCAACCTTTCCCCTGGTGAAGTGGTAAGGGAGAAGAGTTATGCCAAGTTATTGTTATGTCCACATATTTCAAAAAATTATCATGCATAACAGATAGGTTATATTTTATAATTGATTTTGCCACACGTAAAAAAGTCTGAACTATGTACTTTTGGTGAATCAATGCCCTGCTTTTGACGCATAATTAAAGAAGGATATTTTTAGAGCAGCCAAGGCAAATCAACTAGTGAAGGTGAATGTGGGAAGAGGTTTGCAACTTTCACTTTCATATGTTTTAGATCCAACGACCAACTGGGCCACCTCTAAGGCCCTCTATACATGTTAGCACCACAAAAGCAGAAATTATATTTAATACATTAAAATATTAAAAACTTGTGAGACTCAAGTGTTGTTAATCAATTAAATCTTGTCCACTATAATTCAAACAAGGCCTACAATGTGAGTAGTCCATGTGAACATTAGAGCTACCTGTCTGAACCAATAGCAATTTGGAAATTCCAAAAAAAAGAAAGAAAAAAAGAT